ATCTCCTTCTCCATACTGTTTTGGAAATGGCCGCTGATAATCTAGTTGGGAAGGGTATGATGCTGCCATTGGGTCTTTTCCTTGTTTCTTCTGCTTTTCCTTCCATTCCCTCAGCCTTTGATGTCCCCAGTTAAGCCACATGGCCTTCTTTTGGATGTACCAAACCAAAGTCTTTGGCTTTTGGAACTGAATGACTGAACCAATTCTGTTCATTTTCCTTTAAGTCCTAAAGTCACGTATTGGGCTAGAACATAGCCCTTAATAATTGTTGAATTGACTTGAATGACTCAGGAGACACTTAGAAGTGATGACTTGGAGTTTTTGTATCAATATTGTAATTTATTGTATTATCTGTAGGAGCTGGTTTACCTAAGTTTCCAGTAGTTATAATCTTATGGTAACTTTCATTCTTAGTATTTTTAACCCCCAGAATGAATTCTTTTCTCCTCCTCCTCAGAAAAGATCAAACATTTGTAGTTAATCTCTATTAATTAATATAGTTAAAATTACTTTCACCAAAAATGAAATATAGTTATTAAATATAATTAAATAAATTTAAATTAAATAATTAATCTAATCTAATAATTATTTAATTTAATTAAATAAAATTAAATATAGTTAAAATTAGCTCACCAAAGCGCAAACTAATAGTTTTCTATAAGACATGAAATCAGGAATTTAAAGGGAACTTAAAAGTCATTGAATCCAACCTGCTCCATTCACAGATTATTGATTGAGTGAGAACAGTTTTGCACTAGGTCCTAATCAATCAGTCAATCAACAAGCATCTCCTGTATGCTAGGCACAGGGCATGCAAAACTGTAATAGTACTTTGCCTCAAGATGTTCACATTCGGATAGGGGAGACAAGTATATATTATATATTATATATTATATATCATATATATATGATATTTAATAATAGCTAGCATTTATATTGTGCTTTTCTTATTTTATGCTCACAACAACTCTGGGAGGTGGATACTATTATTATTCCCATTTTACAATTGAGGAAACTGAGGCAGACAGCAGTTAAGTGACTTGCCTAAGGTCACACAGTTAGGAAGTATTTGAGGCTGGATTTGAACTCAGGTCTTCCTAACTTCCAGTGCTCTATCCACTGAGTCATCTGGCTGCCCCATATAGATTAAATATAAATATATACAGTGAATCCAGATTAAGCATAACAAAAAAAAAAAACAAATAAAAACAAGAATAAAATGGTTTGGGAGGGAAGGTACTAGCAGTTTTTTAGGAGGAGGGAGAAAAAAGAAGCCTTCATGCAGAGGGTGGTCCTTGAGCTGCCAGTAAAGTGAAAGAAGGAATTCTAATCAGATGCAGTAAGAACAGGAACTGGGATTTGAACCCAGGACCCTCTGACCAGAGCTCTTTCCTCCAAATCAAGCTGCCTCCTCTCTTTGTTTCTCTGTTTCTTTGGCCAGATGATAGAGATCACAATTCTTCCTTCACAAAAGTCCTTTTCTAATTGATGTCTCATCTTTCATCTGTGAAGGTGACTTTAATTCCTGAGGCCACAACAACAGAACACAAAATCCGGATGATTCTCCCAAGCTGGCAAGATTTTAAGTAACGATCTGATGAAAGACTCCCGTGGAGTGGACGGAATGTGGACAGAATGTCAGGTGATTGTTTTTGGCCACTATAATTCGTGAATGACCACTTACTATTCCTACTGTTGCTGCTACTCACTAATAACTTTAAGGTTTGAAAAGTTCATTAAACACATTGCCTCATTTGATCCTTTGAATTGAGAACAGGCATTATCATCCCCATTTTACAGATTAGGAAACTGAGGTTCAAAAGGTAAAATGATTTGCTTACAGTCACACAGTTGGTGCCAGAGGAAGGATTCAAACCCAGATTTCCCCTGACTCTGAAGAGTAGTATCCTTCCTTCTTTTCTTCTTTCCTTCCTTCCTGCCTTTCTTCCTTCCCTCTCTCTTTCCTTTCTTCCCTCCCTCCATCCTTCCCTTCCCTCCCCCTTTCCTTCCCCCTTCCCTTTGCTTCTCCTTTTCCTTTCCTCCTCTCTCCCCTCCCCTTCCTCTAAAAAGACACTGAGGATGTGTAATCTGCATGGATATGGGGTAGTGGAAAGAGCATTAAACCATCAAGCAGAGACCCATGGAATCCATGTTTTACTACCTATACATGACCTTGGGTAAGTTACTTCAACTATTCTTCCTCATCTATAAAATGACAAGATTGGACCAGATGATCTGTGAGGTCCCTTCCAGCTTTAGTCTGTGAAATGCAAGTTGCATATGAAGATAAAGGAATACCCATGAAGATAAAATCACTCTTCCTTGAATTACTGAATTAGTTGCATGTCTTTCCCTGCTCACTGTTTAGCCTTTACAATTGGCAAATCACTTTACATACATTATTGTGTTTGATCCTTGCAAAAATAAACTCTCTGAAGGTGTTATTATCCTAATTTTATTGATGTAGAAACATGCTCAGAGAGGTTAAGTAACTAGGGTCACACAGATATTAGGCTGGATTCAAACCCAAGTCTTCCAGATTCCAATTCTAGTACTCTATCCTTTATGCAAGCTTTGACCTTTTGTTAGAAACATGCTTTGATTGCCAAAAAGACCATTTGATGTCTGTGTTTTATAGAGGTCCAAGGGCCCTTTCATACATTTATCCAGATAAATACAGATTCTAAGCCCCCGGGCAGGCAGTTTTAAACTCAGTAGTGCATATAGGCAGGTATTTAATAAATGACTTTTGCTGCTGTGTCAATCCAACACATGAGATGTCACAAAGACTAAACACTACCATGATGACCAAATGATTAGTCACTCCTGAAGCTGCTTTTCCCTTCCTTAACCTGAAGTACTGCTAAAAGGAAATGAATGGGCTGCCTGGCCAGTTCTTGATGTATTTCTCAGAATGACTCACAGTAGGAAGATAATTGGGTAGCAACTGGAAACAGCACCAAGAAAATCAATCACAGAAACCCAGTATTTCAAAGGTCATTGGGTCTAAACTGTACTGGATCAGGAATCCTTTTCATCCAGCCTTCCCTTACAGATCTCTAGCAATTTGGAAGGATACTTTGCTTAAAGACAAGTCTTCCAGAGACTGGATCACCCCTCTTTTGGTGATGTTGTCAAGATGATGGTTCAGGTCCAAGTTGGAACAGGTGGCCTGTGAGGTAACTTGTAACTTTCTAAGGTTATGAGGGAGTCTATTCTACTTTTTGGGCAGCCCTAAGTCAATAAGTATTAAGTGCCTATGTGCCAAGGCAATGTGCTAAGCACAATGACTTTAATTGTCAGGAAGATATATTGATATTAAGCCTCTCTGACTTCTACCTGTTGCTCCTACTTCCACCTTCTGAGGCCAAGCAAAGCAAGTTTAATGGAATTTTTCACATAAAAGCTCTTCTAATACTTGATGATAGCTATTCTCCCCTCCAACCCCCAATGTTCTCTCCTCTAGGCTATCCATTCGCAATTCCTTCAACTCATCCTTGTGTGGTGTTATTTTGAGAACCCTCTCCAACCTGGTTGCTTTCTCCTCCAAACATTCAACTGACTTAAGTATTGTGGAACATGACAATGGCTTATGATGTGTTTACATCTGGCACATTTCAGGTCTTGGAAATAAATCATTAGATACTGAGTTTAGTATGGAAGGACACATGCCATATTGTCTATAATTAGGCCATGTCTAATAAATACAACCTGTTAGATGCTAAGTTTTGCTTTAATAGGAATATTATTTGTGGAAACGGTGCTCAAAGAGGGCTACAGTTTTCTTTGTTGCTAAGATGACCTCCCAGTTGAATAGACATATGGCTTCTAAAACTCACAAATGGACAAAATATGCTTTTAGAGCAACAAAAAAAAATACACATAGGGACTTGGAGTGAGGTGGGGCAACTTCTGAACCATCACCTTCAACTGAGCTGAGTTACTTATGTTCTATGAATTCTTGTGTAAAGTGTATAAACAAGATAGGCTGGAGCAAGAAGGAGTCAGGAGGGCTTTAAGGAAGCTGGAAGGACATCAGGTTTCAACAGTCAATGTCGAAGGGGACAATCACCCAGATAATGATCAATTCCCATCTCATTTCTACCTAGGTTGGGACTCCACAGAGATTTAGTGTATATCTGATCATCTGGGGCAATAAGAAACTCCTGTATCCTCCCTAGAGGGGCTGTATCCCTCCATGGAAGAACCTCACAAAAAAGGTCAGAGTAGGCCTTTATCCAAAATGGTTTCGCTCAATTCATACCTTCCATCCAATTGTATCAAGTCAGAGGAGCTCTGCAACAGCCCATTCAAACAATAAGCATTTATAAAATGTTTACGAGCCAAGCCTTGGGCTAAGGGTTGGGGATATAAGGAAAAAGCAAGAACAGCCCCTGCCCTCGAAGAAACTACATTTGAATGGGAGAGATAACACGTACAGATCAGTACAAATTGAATATAGAATAGATGAAATCTGTTCCCTTAGAGGGATGGCACTGTGGCACTGGCAGATGAGGGTACCATGAAAGGTCTCCTGGAGGAGGTGCTGCTTGAGCTGAGTCCTGAAGGAAACCAGAGATTCTAAGAATTGGAGGTTGGGAGGGAGGGCATTCTAGGCATGAGCAATAGCCAGTGCAAAGAGACAGAGACAGGACATAGTGGGGTAATATGGAAGGAACAGCTAGCAGCTAGTAGGCTAGCAAGGTTGGATTGTAGAGTATGTGGAAGGAAAGAGAAAATGATTTGGGTCAACTGTGAAGAACTTTACATGCCAAATCAATGATTTTAGATTTGATCTCAGAAATAATAAGGAGGCCTTAGAATTTATTGAGTTTGGGGTGAGATGGGAACATGGTTAGGCCTGTGCTTTAGGAAAATCACTTTGGGAGTTGACAGGAGCATGAATTGGAATGGGAAAGAGATTTCAGGCAGGTAAGAAATGAATCTTCAGTTCCCAGAAGAAACTAAACATGGCCCCATAAAACAATAGAACGCCAAAATTCATTTGAGTATTTTATTTATAAATGTACATTTACTATAAAAGCTGTTGCATTTTAGACAACTTTTTGCTACTCTTCAGAGGCATTTTAGAATAAATATTGTAAATGAAGGTTAGTGTAACTGATATAGCACATTAGCCAACCTAGAACAATATGTATTCTTCTGGCTGGTCTTGCATATAACGTAGATCCTTTTACTTCATTAACTTTGATGCTTCAAATAGATAACTACAGCATGTTTCATATTAATAACACTACATAGAAAGAGTGAGGAAACACCATGAAAGTTTGATAGTGAAACACACACACACAGTTAAGAGTGGAGTTATCCATGTTTTCTGAAGAATGAGAAGGGAGCAGCTTTCGGAGGATCTAAGAAAAAATCAGATCTCATCTTTCCTCAAGAATAATAAATCATTTACTTTTCTCCTTTTCTTTCTTTGTTTCATTCTAAAACTAAACACACACACATATTACAACCCAGTGTAGTAAAGCATTGTTGTTGTTGTTTTTTTCTCCCCCTGGGATCTCTGAGATTATTTAACAAGAAATCTTCATACTTATTATGTTGAATTGGAGAAAAAAGACCTAGGCTTTCTAAAATGCCATGTAACAGACTCCAAGTGAAATATAAATCAAATAGAAATAGGAACAGTTGGCAATTAGAATTTAGAATGCTGGAGATTATTCTGTGCTGGTGACTAGAGTTCATTATGGAAAAAAAAAGAGTATCTTGCAGTTGGAAAATGGGTCTTTATTTTTCTTGACTGGATTCTAGCTTCAATTACATGTATGATGAGACTCACTAAGAAAAATGTATAAATGAGGCTGTGGGAACCCGAAAAGAAAGTGCAATATTCATGTATTTCTTATGTAACGGATGGAGTTTCATAGGTAAAAAGGGTTCTATAAAAATCGGTTATGAATGTTGAAATTGTGCATGTTTTGTGCATTACCATGAGAGAGTACTCTGTGAACACCATGCAAAATGTAAACATCAACATTATCAAAATATCTAACAATAAAACATGCAGATGGTTAATCAAAATATCAGACTGAATATCTGTACATTTCCAAAACTTTTTTTTTTCATTTTTGTAAAACAGCAACCACTACCAGGAGGAGTCTCGGGAACTGAAGGTCTCAGGAATGACTTCGTTCCTCTTAAATTCACTGTATCCATAAGTCATCACCGACTATGTGCAATAGCTTTGCATTTTCTAAGGCACAATTTTAATAAAATGATGTGTCAGGTTCAATCCAACAACATTTCCAAATGACAACGTAGTAAAAATACCTTCAGTGATCGAGGAGAAATTCTGCACAAGCATGAAACGGGCATGCAAAGGACCATCTAGCATAGTGTGTAAATAAATAATCACTAGCTATATCAAATAACACATAGAAAAATTATTGCTTATCTAATAAACAGCCACGTTATATCCCTTTACTAATACAGTAACATTCCATTAATGGATTCATCCTCTACATTCGCAACAAATCTTCATTTAACATGGTTTTAAGGCAGAATAAATAGGTGTTCCAACACTACCTGCTCCTCCTCTGCCCTCCCACCCCTAGTTTTCAAGAAAAAAAAAATCCCGGGAAAGTTAAAATGAGGATTTTCAACAACTTTCTCCTTTCTTCAGCCAGCTGAAATCCATTATGTGACACGTTGAGTTAGGGGAACAGCAAATCAATTCCTGGTTAAAGTTCTCCATGATTAACAGCTGGAACTCTTGACAATGGAGAGGAGAGTTAAGAGGAACATGCAAATAGCCATTAAAATGGACAAGGTACAGTGTGCACTGTAGGACCTTGCTGGTTACGCACAAGTCACTGAAATACCACATGTTATCGCATCCTTTTTAAGTGATTTTTAAGCAGAGGTTCTCAAGCTTATGTACATATATGGCACAGGGCACCCAGTACCCAAGACATATGATGCATCCCTCCTAGACTGACGTGTGACAACTCTTGCTCTTTCTCCTGGGAATGTCGGAAATGATATCGACCAAGAACATCACGTTATCGTTGTTGCTACTGACGCCCCACTTGTTGTTGGGAGAAAGTCAACTTCCTCCTCCTCTCTCAGATTCAGGTAGGACAGTACTGCAATAACCCTGAAAAAAGACCGACTGAAATCATCTCAGCTCTGTTTCTCACACTCTTGGGAAATGCCTCCATTCAGTCAGAGTATAGGCCCAGCAGGCTTTACAAGAGTTCTCTTTATTTGACAGAATAATCTACATGGATGATGTAACTTTGAAAGTACATGAATGTTAATGGCGCAATAATTTATGGGTTCAACAGAACACAAACGGTTCAGAGTTACAGTATGTATTCCAAACTAGTATCTTTGTACAAAAAAAAAAAAGTTATAGCTCAATAACAGAAAATCACTCTCTGTGATTTTTAGTTCAGAAACGTATTAATCAGATGCTCCTTCAGCAGAGTGCTCATCTCACATTGGCATGTCCTGCACTTTCTATAGTTCAGTTTTGTAAACTTAAAATGTTTAGCTTCTAGAAATTTCAAAACAGAGGGTCTTATTGCATTTTTTTAATCTTAATTCCCAAAAAAGATAATATCACATTTTAAATCATCAACATTATCTTGCCATACCAAAGAAACCCCACACAACTTTCTGAAGGATTCAGGATCAAAATAACTCAATATTCTCTCAAGAGATACTGTGCAAATGCAAAAAGGAAAAAAAAAAGGAAAACACATACATACACTGCGTTATAAAGGAACAGACACAGCCTCTTAGTATAGCTTTTTAAAAATTAAATGAGTGCCATGAAGCTCCACAAATATGGGCATTTGTAAGCGATTGTCCAGGACATCCCCAAAGGGAGAAGTGGGAGGTGATGTGTAGGAGTGAAAACCATGTCACAAGGTTGTTGGCTGACCAGCACCTGTGTGAAAAGAAAGCCAATGAGAATTGAGTGATGGTATTTAACAATTCTTGTTTCTTGATTCCATAAATCTATATAGAACATTTTCATAAAGGCCTGCAGTTTGCATTTATATTGCTTTTTGGTTTTGCTAAGCACTCTCACACTTCACCATTCCAATGCATTCTCCACATAACTCTATGCAAATAAACAGAGGTATCTGCCCTAAGAAAATGCACCCTGGAGTCCTACCTACACAGGTCCCAATGAGAATCAGGTTAGAAAGAGAGTTTAAGGCCAAGTTTCTCATGAGTTCTCATTCTCATAACACACTGCCTAATTTTGAGTAGATTCATCACAGTTTATTATGAGTAGGGTAAATATGGGCTACCATTTGCTTGTATTAAAAATAAGGAATCAGTCATGATAATAGTTAGCATTTATATTGTGTTTTAAAGTTTGCAGAGGGCTTTATATATGTTATTTCATGTGAGCTTTACAACTCTGTGAAATGGATGTTATTATTGTCCCCATTTGATAGATAAGGAAACTAAGGCAGAGTTTAACTGACTTGACCAGGGTCACACAGCTGATAAGTGCCCGAAGCCAGTCAGCTCTATACTTTGTGACTCCAGGTCTTACACTTGGGATACCTGCCACTCTGACAATGTCCCCCTAGTATTAGAGAAAGAAGGAAAACTTGGGGAGCCTCCAAGTGACATCATTTATCAGCGCACCAATACACACTGCTCCATATGCAAAGGACAGTTCCTAACCTCAAGATTTCACTCTATGGTGAGCCAAAAGAAATTTCTGTGATTCTAGATTTTATCTTCTATGGGGATAAAAAAGAAGGCTGGAAAACTTCTCCCTCCTTTGCCCTGATATTACCCCGGTATTCAACATCATCTGTCAGGAGCAGGTGGTGGGGAAAAAGTGGGGTGTCTGAAGTTAAATGGAAGTGGTCATTTCGGACCAGTGGGCTGGGGTCGCCACATTCCTCATTGAAATCTTCATGGCATTTCTCCATCTTCAGCAAAAGAATGAGGAGGAGGCACATATCCAAGTATAAAGTACCCAGGGACCTATCCTAAATGTATTTCATAGTAAGAGATGATTGAACAGAACACCGTATACAGAGATAAGCTCATCTAACACATAAGTAACCAGGGACAGAAATTAAGCATGTGACAGCATTACGTGTTATGGCCAATTTATGACCCATTTTGGATGTTATTTGCATAAGATCTTAAAAGTATTTAGGTAGCTTTCAGGAATTCCATTTTAATATGCTCTTATGCTATCAGTTTAAAAACTATTTGAATATATCTCCTTACTCTAGAAAACAAGATTATGGATGTTTCATTTTTATTATTCAATTGAATAAAATTATTTTCATTTCCTTAGAAAACTATTATAGTAAACCTTCCATATTGATCCTCTCTCTGTCTCTTTTTTTTTTTCTGAGATAAAAATAAGAAAGTATATGTAAAAACATTTCTAGCGCTTACCTCTAGATCTGATTATTTCCCTGGTATCTGGGATTGCTTCATCCATTCAAATGCATTAACACTCTTCTAGCTAGATGCACAGTCCCTCCTTAACTTTCAAAGCTAATTCAGTTTTTATAACAGCAAAGAAAGGCATAGGAGCACTTGCTGAAGTAGATAAGGGCTTTTAAGTCCCTTTCATGAAAAACCTCATCAGCCCTTCTTGGAAACATTTTTGCTGTTCCAATCCTGAGTGAGATTTCTATGTTTGGAGTATACTGTGAAAAATACAGGTGAACAGATTTATCTCCCCATGTCAGTTTTAATAAAAGTCTGCAAAGGAAAAATGTAGCTGTGCCACCACACTGAAAATTTGGTTTCCCAGGTTTCAGGTTACACAGAATGGCACAATAACTATACAGATTCAACATAGTCCAGGGGAAAGCATAACGGCTAAGAAATCAGAGAACCTGGGTTCAAATCACACTTTGAAGGGTTATTCTTTCCAGAAGCCTGAGCAATTTCACTGGGCCAAAAGATAAAATTAGTGGGTTAGATCAGATGACCTCAGAGGTCTCTTACAGCTCCAGATCAGCAATGCTATAAAGAGACTTCAATATATTCTTACCTTTAAAAATAATTCATCTTACGTTTCAATACTTAAAAGAAAAAAATTTCTTCAAACAGCGTAATTTCCCCTAGATGTCACATTTTTACAACTTAATTTGCAAACATCCTTAAAAATGAAATCAAGATGAAAGGAATCTAGCTCCTCCCCTTCCAACTCTGAGGGCCTATGGGATCTTTTCCGTTCCTCCAGTACCCTCAGTGCGGTTCCAGGTGAGGAAGAACAGAGAGCACCGTGCCCCATCACTTTTATTTCTCTGCTAAATAGTTTTCTGACTTAACAGTGCCCTCTTCTGATTACTCAAGTCACATTCAATTGGAACGCTGAAGAAAAAGCTTCATCTGGGAAGATGAGGGGAAAATCACTTTGAAAAAGATAGCAGTCAAGCAGCTGTATTTCTCCCCTGGAGTATATTTTAAAAGTAAATTCAGTTGTATACATAAATCTTGCTAGGGTTCCCTTAGAGACATTCAGTAAGTTGACATTCAAGAAGGTGTTATGTATTTATTTCCCATGCTCCTCAAAGACAAGCTTTTGTAATAATCAAACCAGATTCACTGGAAATCCACTTAGCTGCTCAGTCCCACACTTTCTTTAAGGTAATAGGTATGGGTGCCTATCCTCCCCACCCATACCCTGCCAATTTCACTTTTTAAAAGGAAAACACTATCCATACAAAATAAATAAACTGTAACTAAATGATGGTAAAGTAAAATTTTAATTTTTTTTCCTCAAAGGCAAAATTGTTTATGTATTATATTTAAAGATTTTGGCATGAAAATCTTTAACTTTACTATCTCATAGTCCAGAGAAGATTTTATTAACCTAAAACAAACACAAAATGCCCAAAAAGATTACAGAATTTCTGACCAATTGTGTTGCAGTTGACTAAAATTTTCTCAGATTAAAACACCCTGAGACTTGGTGTTTTCTAAGTGTTCAGAACTTGAAACAGAATTTATCAAAGGAAAGACAGCCGTTGTGCAACAATGCCCTCTGGTGTTACAAAATATATAAGCAGCCTTTTCCCAGAGCATTCTATTTCATTTTCCTTCTAATACAAACTTTTCCCCCATTTTGTTTTTCACATTTTGCTAAGGACTGAGAGGATACTCAAGAGTAAAAGAGATGCTCTTTTTCTTAAGTTTACAAATAAGTTGGGAAGATTGTCATGATTTAGTGGAAAGAGCCTGGAACCTAGAATCAGAGGACAAATTCTGACTTCCCACCTTATGACCAGAGTTATCTCGGGCAAATCACTTTCTCTCTCTTAGTCCTCAGTTTCCTTAGCTAGAAAAAGACGGAACTGGATTTTGTTGTTGTTTTTTGGTAGCTTTCGTCATGTCTGAGGCTCTTTGTGATCCTATTTGGGGTTTTCTTGGCAAAGATACTGGAAAACTATTTCCTTCTTCAGCTCATTTTACAAATGAGGAAACTGAAAGGAACAGGGCTAAGTGACTTGCCCAGGGTCACACAGCTATTAAGAGTCTGAGACCAGATTTGAGCTCATGAAGATGGCTTCTACATCCCTTTCTAATTCTTCTCTCTATGAACCCTATGCCTCAAATCTATTTTAGCATGTAATCAAGAGCCACAATGCAAGGCACATGCTATATTTTAGTGACTGAGGAATTCAGGAAAATGAATTGGGGCTTAAGTAGTTTGACAATACTTCATGATTATTGCGTAATACTCCTTCAGGAAAACCTTTGGCCTGGGAGAGAAGGAAGGAGAATGCATTTTACCTGAGTAAAGAAATGGAGATGGGCACACTCTATATAACAACGTGAGGAAAGATAAGAACATTGGTTTGATGGGAATAAAGGACTGATGGTGACCAAAAATGACTCTGGGGATTTCTTTATATATAGTTTAATGTTTTCTTGGTGATGATCTCCATGCTCTCTTCTCCCATCCTCATAACAATAAATTTACTTTGTATTTTCTTATCTGGGTACATGTTGTTCTAGGGAAGGGAAAGGAAGAATGAGGATTTACTAAGTGTTTGCTATGTAGCAGGCACTGTACTAAACACTTTACAAATATTATCTCATTTGATTCTCACAACAACTCTATGAGGTAGGTACATACTATTACCCCCATTTTACAGTTGGGGAAACTGAGGCAGACAGTGATTAAGTGACTTGCCCAGGGTCACATAGCTAGTAAGTGTCTGAGGTTGGATTTGGACTCAGGTTCCTGACTCCAGGCCCAGTGTTCTATCCACTGCACCAACTACCCCTCTAAATATAGCATTTTTAGGTTTGCAAAGCTTTTTAACAAATATTATCTCATTTGATCCTCACAACTACCTAGGGAGGTAGAGACTATTATTATCCCCAATTTACAAGTATGGAAACTGAAAGAGATAGAAGTTGAGTGACTTGTCCAGGGTCTCACAGCTAATAACTGTCTGAAGGTGGATTTGAATTCAGGTCTTAGTGACTGCATGCCCAGTGCTCTTTCCACTGTACCACCCAGCTTTTGAGTTGTATCCCCAGTGCCTAGCATATTAATAAATGCTTCCCGAATTGAATTGACAATTTCTTTTCACTTGGATGCTGATAAAGCTCTGTTTACAAGATATGGCTTTCCTGAGCAGAAAGTCTACAGAAAGGGACACTCAGGCCCCAGTAAATGTGCAGGCACGGACACACGAGATTTCCTGCATCTTAGGGTTCATGGGGTTGGCTGTAAGACTTACTTCTGGACCGGATGTAGCAGTCATTGCAATTTAGCAAACCATTGCGAATCCTGACATCTGTTCCACTCACTGAATCTCCAAGCTGTCCTTTGCAGATTCCACACTGTCCATTAAACAAGATGGAAGTCATGTGAGAAAGGCATCTGTCATTCACAGAGAAATCATCACAAAAGTAGAATCCCTTTCTACAGATCAAATGAAACCTCAGTGGTAGCTTGGATAAGCAAATGACATTCAGGGCATTGACTGAAACTTGTCGGAATCCTTCATGGGGAAAATCTGTAAATAAGATCTCAGGAGATTTCCAGGATTTTGCTGAAGCTCCAAGAGATCTGGTACAAGGAAACAAAAAGCTCTTCTTCCTGAGATTTCAAAAGTGTTTTCCATGTAGTGATCCCCAATTAACCCCCCCACCTCCCCCCTTTTAACAGCATTGTTTCAGGTATGGAAAGATGTTGGAGGACATTCTGGTTTCCTCAATACTGGGTTAGTGGTGGTGGTGGTGATTAAGGAGGACGATGGAGTGACTCTCTCATGTACAGCCTTTTTCTGGGGAGGTTAGAAACCAAGGATAGATACAAGCCGGGAGAGTGTAGCCTGGAGGTTTGTGAGTAGGTGGAAGAGGGTGGGGCTCCATGAAGACCTCCTGTTGCCTCAAAGTCACTGGGTGAGGGACCATCTTCACAAGGGAGGGATATAGGCCAAGTGAGCTGGGCAGCTGCTATAACTGGATGAGAGGCAGTAACCTCCAGGACTCAACAAAGAAGGAATCGAATTTTGGAATCCCTACTTAGCCTCCCTAGACTATTTCTGCCTTTGAAAAGTACCTATTCTTTCAAGCTATCAAAGTTTTAAAAAATCATTTTGTATATTAATTATAAGTTCTCTTATTGAAAATAGCTTGCTTGTATTTTTATGAACTGCTTTGTGATTAAAAACAAAATATAATTTAGGGAAGAATCATACTCGTCCTAATACTGTGGATACAGAGATTGAGAGGCATTGTGCTATTGTAGACAGATAGCAGCCCTCAGAGTCAGGAAGGGCTGGATTCAAGTCCCAAACTCTGATACATTCAGGCTGTGCGACTCCAGGAAAATCACTTGACCTCTCATTTAACCAGGAAGCCCTCTTAAGATTATAAGTCATGAACCAGTTACTGTTCTGCACTGTTGGAAGGAGGTTCCTGACTAGGAGCTAGGAGCAGAGAGAGAAGGGTGAGAAGGAGAGGGCTAAAGAACACCCACCTCTACACCCAACACTTCTCAATATAAATATGGTGTTGAGACTTAGGATCACAGCAACCAATCAACATGCTCAATTGTCAAGGGTTAAACCAAAACCTTTCATCACCTAAGGGAACTGGTAAGATACTAATAGCTCCTAATATTCATTCATCAAAATTTCAGGGTTTAGAAAGAATTTTCAGATTCCAAATACATCCAGAGGCTAACAGACTTGTAATCAGCATTTTCCTCTTGGAGTATTTCAGGGTGGAATTCTTAGCTCCCTACTGGAGCACACAATTCTTTCAGTCATATACTATTTAGGCCGGGGCAAACACCTGCAAAGCAAGGTAAACAAATCTAGCCATGCCTTCTAGGGATGACAAGACGGCACAGACGAGCCTATATACAGAAAGACAGACAGCACAGCAGCAGCATAAAAAGAGGAACAACATCCATCTTATAAATGTGTGCTCCACACACAGAATGATAAAAAAGGATGTCGTGGGCTCTTATTTAGCTTGAGAAGTAATGAATACATACCCTGAAGCAGTGAATGTGAAAATAAAGGCTAAGTGTTTCAATGATCATGGCGGCTCCTTTCCCCAGAGGAAGTCCACAAGCGGAGCATAACTTCTTTCCGCTTATAGACCTGGATGAAAACACATTTGCACACCGTCTGTATGACACAGGACAGGCTAACTCATCCCGCTACTAAGAAATGAAAATGCAAATTTTAAAAGGGCATATTACTAGTTATTTTCATTGCCCCTAAAGGTGACTGAGTTAAGTCATTGAGATGGTCATAAGTACTGACAGGAAGCTTCCTGAAATTCAAGATTCAATTAAGTAAATTCAATAACTGTTCAATTCAATAAGCATTTATTAAGCACCTTAAAGTATTATAGCTCATTTATTAGAAGATAAAAAGACACTTGGCTAACTAGGTCCATAGGCTATCTTTCACTGTCTTTGTTGTTGGTTGAGCTTTCTGCCCTGAACCTGGCACAATTTCAGAGTGGCATGATGCTTCTGTAAGAGCGCATTCATTCACTCATTCATTCAACAAACGTTTATTAAGGACCTATTATGCTGAAGGTTCTGCTTCAATACTCAATGAATCTCTCTGATCTTATCAATAGCAGCACTACCACCAAGGGCTCAGATTGCAAGCTATGCATGCCTTCTCATTCCATGAAATTCTAGGCCATGATGTTCTATAAAACGCAATTAAAGCCCTGAAGAAGCAGCAGAGCCAGAGACTGATGCTTCGCTCTTTCTCTATTCTTATACCAATTAAAAAGCTGAAATAGAATGGGTTTCCTGTATTCTAAGAGGTGTGGACGAACTCCCCAAACTAAGTTGGCAGGTATCAATTCGGGTAAAATTATAACGGCTTCTAAGCTAAGAGAATAACCAAAACAAAACAAGGCAGCCCATGAAGGGCCAATGGCCTTTCGTACCTGTTGGGAGATTGGCCAGGAGGGGTAGGAGAGCATGGGGATAACTGCCCAGCTCTGAAATTCTCAAGAGGGCTTGTCCTGAAATGTGGAAAAGAAATGAAGAATTATAACAAGGATAAATAAAGCACTCAAAGGCTAATCACGGGACAGCAGCTTTATCACTACGAAAACAACAAAGACCCTAGCAACTCTCCATGATATAAAAAGAAAAAGGGTGAAGGAATAGCACTTGTAATTTACAAAGGCTTCTCAGTATATTCTCTGCCTGATATCTATGATAAAATCTATGTGGCTTTGATAGGACAAGGCTAAAAAGGTCAGGATGCCTTTTCTAGTATTTATTTTTGCCTGGTTTGCCTGGTTTTAACTAAATTTTCTAAGATGCTCCTATTGTTCTTTATACCAAAAAGTGACCTGTCCCAGCAGAAAATGTCCACCAATAACTCTGCCCTTAAGAGAGTCAGAAACCAAATGACCAAGTGTAGGTATGTGGTCAGCCTCACTATAAATAGGCCCTCCCACTAGGGAATAAATCTATATAGTCATAGATTTAATTAGCATTTCAAAGGTAACATTTTAAGTATGTTACCCTTCTCATCTTGTAAAATCAATGCCCCATGGATAGATCAGATTTAAATTCTTATTTCTGTGCTTTTTAAAAAAAAGAGTTTCTAACTTCCTACCTTGTTGAAAGGATATACCCTCAAAATACATGATATTAAAAAAAAATTAGTGACACAGAGATGAATAATGCAATTCCCAACTCCTGCTCATTTTTAAAAAGTGGCATGTACTTTAGAAATAAGCCCCAAAGAAAGAAAGAAAAAAAAAAGGAAATGAATTTGAACATTCAATCAAGAAAAGCAACCTGTTATAGGATTTAACAAATAAGTTGAGTAAGAATCAACACTCTAGCAGCTTTAAAAATAACAGGTGAAATGACCAGCTAAATTATAAGACATGTCATATAAAAGCTATTAGAACTGCCAGAAGTCTCACTGCTCAAATATAAGATGAATAAGTTTTGATAATGGTTCATAGGGTGAGGCAAACTCTTGCCATACTGTTAGCAGAATCTGTCATTGTTGCTGTTTGTCCTTTGTTCTTGAAGAAGACGATGACATCAAGAAGGTGATTCCATGACTTGTAAGTGAATTGGACTTAAGTGAGGGAGGGTTGTGCAAAGTTACCAGCCTCACTTTTCTGAGTCCAGTGGTGAGAGATAGATTAGGACAACTGGAGATGGCCCCGGATCAAGCAGAAAGATATAATTTCCACATAATTAGAGTAGGTTTTAGATGAACTCCTATTTCCTGAACCCATATTTCACTTTTAGTTTCTGAGACATGTGATTTAATCCTTTTAAAATAATTTCTGAACTCTAATCTTTTGCTACTTATTTTGGTAAAAACAGCAGGTCCACAATTCCTTTTAGTTTAGTTTTTTATTTTATTTATTTAGTTTTTAGTTTGTTTAGTTTTTATTTTATTCCAAAATTCATTTTTCTCATTCTTTAGTTTCTATGTGTATTTAATTAAAGAACATAGTGTAAAATATCTCAGTTGTCAAGATGCCTGATCTGGGCTTTGGAAACTAGTCACTAGTCAGAACTTTACCTTAGTGAGAATGAGTGGAAGTCACAAAAAGTGACACCAACACCCCACTGTCTGTTTTTCTTTTTACTTCATTTTTCTATTTGGTGACTGAATTAAAAAAGAAAGGACTTTTTTTCATCCTGGGTACTCACTTTCTTCTCTCACTGGGAGAGGCAACCTGGTGGTTGATGCTTTGATCCACCGGGAGGGTTTTCTGTTTCACATCTTCTAATGCATGTGACGGCGCAGGTGACCATGGCTGATTCCATGATGTGTCTGAAGTTGAGAGATTAGTATCAAAAAGAAAAATTTTTTTTCCAGTAAAAATCAGGCATACCAACAAGAACTTTTTAATCATCCCTTTCACTTTCAATCCACTTGAAGTCAAACACAACCTGGCATGTACCTTCTAAAATATACTCACAGATGCAGACCACGGTGGCAGCGAGTGGTACACTGGAGAAAGTACTGTACAGTACATTTCTATAAGCTGCTTCTAAATGTATATCAACGTCTAGACACATATCATAACCTACCAAGAGAGGCATCCATGTTGATACTGTGTTATAATAAATTCATGGATCCTACCAAAAATGTTTACTTGGTCAACATATTTTGCTTTGACTCCACATACACTGGTCATTCTAGCTCCTATTCTCAGCTATGCCCTTCTGACTCTCATGCTGACTATTATGGAGGGAGGATCTAGCAGAAAGATGGCTGAATCTAGTCAGCAGGCTTTGGTTTGAACAGGCCCTGCCAATTAGAAACTGCAGGACACCTAGCAAATTATTTCCTCTCCCTGAGCATCGATTTTCTCAAAATAAAATGAGAAGTTAGATTAGATGACCTCTAATTTGTTTATTCTAGCTCTTAATATAGGATTTTAAGAGTAAGAATATTTTCCATGAAAACAGCAACTTAGGGTCATATCCCACTCCCTCCGTCCCACCCTTCCCATGCCCGCAATAAAAAACATAACTCCAAGAAAAATAAAATGACATGGAAATGGAAAGGAGAGCATTGTACTGTGCCAATAGCACCTCACACTGATATGTGAATTTAGCCAAGGATTTTCCTAATAACAACATTGTAATGCAGAAGTCATTATGTCCATTTTACAGATGAGGAAACTGAGATTATGAATTGTTAAGTGGCTTGCCCACGATTACACAGACTGTGGGTGTCTTTGTGGGATTTGTCTCCTAATTGCAAATTCACTCACAATCTATGACTTCATGTTGCCTCTCAGTATGGCAGAAGGACCCCAATGCTTAGCATAAAAAGGGTAAGAAAAGCATACTATAAAACAATGAAGTTAATTTGCTCTGGCTTTTGAGAGGTTCTTGTTACAAACTGAGAAGTATGCAAAGATTTCTTTCCTTTTATTCTTACCCTGAGATAACTCTAAGTTCAGCCTGCGGTCTGCTGTACCAGGCTCAGCTGTTGACAACTGATGGTCCTGATGACTTCCTTTTGGAACAGAGGTTTCTGGATGTGCTGGGGTCACCTGGGGTGCACTGCTAATGATAAAATCATGTCACATTTTACAAACAGAAAGGAGGAAGAGAGCCCATGAGTGGAGGAAAACCTTTGTAATCTGGCATGTTTGAAAAATGGGCATGAGGGTTAATTGAAAGATTTACAGAAGGTAGGCTTAACTATGACTTAATTCATGTTGCTTCCAGTGGCCTCCCTCTTTTCATTTCCCTTGATCTTTTATCCTGTTAACCACTAAGTGAAGGAAGGAGCCATGAATCTTCATCGTTTACAAACAGCCTTTAGAGGCAGGGATCTAACATGCTCCCTTCCTCCCCAAAGAAATCAGCAGGAATGTAACTCAGCTGCTCAGCAAGGTATTCTGACTGGTCTTGGCACCTCTGGAAATAACTGCTGGGTTGCAGAGTTTATTGGGAGATATCAGAAATGCTGGTTTCTAGAGTTTGGTAATTCCAACTCATGCACTTTTACTGTAGCTTCTTACTGAATGAATGAAACAGCATTTAAATGTTTACTATCTATTACTCATTTTTCTTATGGATTTGTGATCTCATCCATCATTCTTGCTACATGACTGGGACACCTCCTTTTCTAGTAACATATCTCTGAGGTGGTGCTTTAGGCTACTTCTCATGTAAAAGTCATTACTGGCAGTCTGCTGTGGCCTACGGATATTTTATTGCCCCTTCAATAACCTGCAATGTGGTTCTTCTGACATCAAGATCTCCGGCTATATAGCATCACCTTAACAATACTGATGCATATCTGAAGGGAGAGCTAGGAGGTAGCACATGTGTCAGGGGGGCCCAACCTGCACCATTACCTCCCTCAGACCCTCATGGAGACAGGGGACTGTGGCCAAGAACCCTTGGGGACACTGGCACTCTCCAGACCAGGGCCCTGCTGCCAACTTAGCCCTTGTAACTATAATCAAGAGCACCAACCCTTCAGACCCTTCACCTTGATCCCTGCCTACCCTGCCCCACTCCCAGGCTGCTACAGGGCACAGATATTGCCCCTTACAGAGATGTGATCTGATAGGCTCTTCAGCCCCCACCCGCAGCCCCCTCAGCAGTCACATCTACTGAAAACCCCCAAAGAAAGTTCTTGCCACCAAAGTCCTTGGCATTGTCAGAGGGTTTCAACGTCAGAAAACAACATGGTTTTATTAATGGAAATGACATTCATTACTATCCATCTTGTCACGGCACCCTAAAAACCACAGGGCCTTGCCCCTAAACTTGCATCTGAAATCTCCTATCTGGACTGCCCCTCCCCCAGGAGAACATGAGCTCCTTGAGAACAGGGACTGTCTTGCTTTTCTTTTTGTTTCCCCAGGGCTTAGCATAGTGCCTGGCACATGGAAAGCACTAAATAAATGTTTTTTTCATCCATTCATGTGAATAAGATGGGCTTTTGAGGCAGTGAGCAGCTTGGGCTTGAAAGTACTTCAGAGTTTCTCACATGTGGTCTATAGCAATCACTGCTTCCTGTTCAATTGAGGGCCCAGCCCTTTGTTCACTGGCAATCCCTGTCCAAGATACGTATACTGGTGGATAAACTTAATGGGCTGCCTGTATAAGTCTATGCCTAGTTGTCTAAGCATCTACATTTTCCCCTATCTCCTTTGTTTCTTCCAGTGTAAGTGACTAGGTCATTCTCTTTTTAAAAATACTTTATTTTTCAATTAATGAGCATTTATTTTCTCCTCTTCCTACCCCAACTAAAGAGAGAAAAACAAAACCTTTATAACAAATATGCACAGTCAAGCAAAACAAATTCCCACAATGTGCATGGCCACAAATGTATGCCTTATTCTGAAACCTGAATCAATCACCTCTCTTTTAGGAGCTGGGGAGCCTACTTCATCATTAGTCTTCTGGAATGAATATGGCTGATCACGGTATTAATCACAGTTCTTAAGGTTTTCAATAGTTGTTTTTTCTTCTCAGTGCTGTTCTTTAATGTATCAATTATTCTCTTGGTTCTGCTCACTTCACTCCACACCAGTTCATATAAGCCTTCCCTACTCTCCCTGAAACCATCCCTTTCATCTTTTCCTATAGCACAGTAGTACTCTACTACATTGATATACCATAATCTGTTCAGCCATTGGCAAATTAATGAGTATGTCCTTAGTTTCCAGTTCTCTGGGGCCAATCTCTTTAGCAGATTGGTATGGGGTCCTGACACACAATAAAGGTTAAGAGCCCTTGATCTAGAGGAAAAAGAGAAGGGGGCCTAGGACAGAGTCCCAAGGGAGATGGAGATCAACAATTACCTAGCAAAGGCAATTAAGAGAAAAGATGGTAAGAAAGAGCACCAAGGGCTGGCAGGTGGAGCCAAGATGGTGGAGTAAAGGCAGGGATTGGCCTGAGCTCTCCCCCAAACTCCTCCAAATACCTTTAAAAATAACTCTAAACAAATTCTAGAGCAGGAAAGCAGGAACACCCACAAAAAGATGGAGTGGGGGCAGCCAGGTGACACAGTGGATAGAGCACAGGACCTGGAGTCAGGAGGACCTGAGTTCAAATCTGGCCTCAAACACTTGACACTTATTAACTGTGTGACCCTGGACAATTGCCTCACCAAAAAAAGCAAAAAAAAAAAAAAAAAAAAAAAGATGGAGTGATATAAATTTCCAGCCCAAGACAACTTGGAAGGTCGGCAGGAAAGGTCTGTTGCACCAGGGTGGGAGAGGAGTGCAGTGTAGCATAGGCCATGCCAGCGCAGACCCGGCCCCAGCAAACCTGGAGCAGACCTCCGGACGACTGAATCACGGGCAACAGAGGTGGTTTCTAGAACTCTCAGGCCACAGATGCCAAAGACAACTTAGGAGGTCAGCAGGAAATGTCCGTCGCAGCTGGGTAAGAGTGGAGTGCAGTTTAGCACAGGCTGCACCAGCACAGCCCTGGCTCCAACAAACCAGGAGCAAGCCTTGAGAGTGACTGAATAGGTAGCGGTAGCGGCAGCAGCTGTTTCCAGAGTTCTCAGCCCATGGACGATAACAGGGTCAAACAACTGGTCAGAAGGAGATTACGGGGGTCTTTTTGCTAGCACTGAGGCAGGACTCTATTGCTTTTCACAGGCTCGGATCCAGGTGGCAGTCCTTAGTGGCAGTCCCAGGACAATGACGAGCACTAGCATAGCAGAGCTTGCCACTCTCCTCACGGTTCCAAGACAGAAAAGAGTGCTTGTGGTCACTCACAGACCAGAGCACAGGCCAGGAGAGTAATAAATATCTCCTCTCCTCAGATCATACCACTTGGAAGAACTGAGAAAGTAGAGGTCTCTAGAAGTATCTCTCAAAAAAGCTGCACAAAACCCCTGAAGCTTGGAATGGTGTGCCCTCCACCCTGGAAGCAGAGCCCTACTGTAACAGAGTTAAAAGTCAAGCAATAAGCTGGGGAAAATGAGCAAATGATGGGGAAAAAAACCAAATCTCTGACTATAGAAAGTTATTGTGGTGACAGGGAAGATCAAAACACACACTCAGAAGAAGACAACAAAGTCAAAAGGAGAGAGAGGGAATAGAATAAGGCGGGGGAGGGGGAATAGGATGGAGGGAAATACAGTTCTTGTGGTTTTTCCCTTTTGTTCTAATTCTCCCTTCACAACATAACTAATGTAGAAATATGTCTAATAGGATTGCACATGTATAGCCTGTATCAAATTGCATGCCATCTTGGGGAGGGGGGTGGTGAGGGAGGGAGAAAAAAATTTGAAACTCAAAATCTTATTAAAAAATGAATGCTGAAAACTAACTTTGCAGGTAATTGGAAAAAATAAAATACTATTAAGTAAGAAAGAAAAAAAAGAACCAAGAAAGAGCAGTATCATACAAAAACCAAGGCATGAGAGTATAATAAGGAAAAAGGGATGGTCAATAATATGAAAAAATAGAGAGGCATAATAATAACTGTTTTGTCTACTGCACAGGGCTGTTGTCAGGATCAAATGGATTAACATACATGAAAGTACTCTGAAAGCTACAAAGTCCTACATAAATGAGGCAATATCATAATGATAAAGCTAGAAAAATTCCGCATTGACAAGAAACATGACATTTCTCATTGTAGGCATTACTGCTGACCTGCTGTTGTCACTACAGATCAGAGGCCAAAATGTTTAAGTGAATGAATGCAGCTGGGTGCAGAGTATTCCCAGATTTCTGGTGGTTCTACAAAGGTCTCCTTGGGGTAGGATGAGTATTTAGCTTGGATGGGGTGGTAGTCTTATGGAATCCATTCTAACCCACAGCTACAACTAGTTTAGGCCTAAGCTGGCTCTGAAATTCCAGGTGGTACGTTGGCTCTGGGAACCCACCATTGACTTGGTTCTGCTTTTGGGGGGGTTCCTTAAGCAAGTCAAGATTGAACCAGGCTGCCTAGAATCCTTGTGGAATAGACTAGAAGCCCTGGGGGCAAGGATCTGTTCACTGGTTCTCATTTAGACCAAGAGCTGAAATGGAGTGATATCTTCCTGATATCATTCTGTGCCCGAGGATATGGTCTTGGGGGCTGGTGCTAGGTTCCTGAGGATGTGAAGGTTACTGTTTTAATGCTATAATTAGAAGCCTAGTGAAAAGGCAGTGGGACCCAAGATGTGTCACAGGGACACCAGACCACTCCTAAGAAACAGAGAAATCAGATGACTCATTCAGTGCAATGACAATAAAAGGGTAAAGTCATGTGTGGAGCCTAGGATTATCAACACAATTCTTTGTTAATTTCTGTTTAAAAATACCTCTCTCATGTGTTTAATATGGTAAGGCCTTCCACTTAATAGCCATCATAACATGTTAGAAAAGAGCATAACATATTATTGAAATAACATTTTCAAGGCTAATTATAACCTGTAGGCAGTGACCCACAATGAGGAAGATTTTTCTCAAAGGTCCTGCAGGCAGGACTGAGGCCTCTTCCTCTTCAAAGGCTAGTTGGGATAAAGGCTCATACCTCCTTGTTTCCTCTAAAGCAACACTCTCCTTATTCTTCAGCAGCAAGTCGCTTTCTTCCTCCCGGAGTGGTCTTTGCCTTTTTTCTTCCTCTTTAGAATCTTCCAATTCCATCTTATTCTAGGAGATAAAAGGAGGCTAAGGGCAACCTGAAATGGGAAACCTTAAAGCACAGTGGGCAGGCAGCTCTTGCCATCCCCAACTCAGGAGTTAAAAGTCAAATCATTATTCATTCATGTTTCCTATGATTCAAAGACCTTCAAAATTGCTGGATGTCTCTAAGTGTCAATGATCTGTAACTGCATTCTTTGCCAGTGGCATCAATGTTTAATTTAGGCCTCTCTCAAAAGTTCATATCAGTTTATCTTGCCAAGATAACAAAACAACTGCCCCCTTCTGCCCCTCCCCCCCAAAAAGGCGGGGGAGGGTGAGGGGGAAGGGAAAGGGAGGCAGGTTCCATGATCCGTCAACTCGGCACCAGAACTATCTCACGTTTCAGAGGCATCAAGGGGTTGTAACTTCAGATTATGGAACACCAAGCTCTTTGGTGCTTCTCTACCCATTCCTCAGGGGATGCATTTTGGGAACAGGTAACAGGAAGAATGATAGCTTTTTCTTTGGCCTTTTATGATATACCTAAATATTAGGTAGATTAAGGATTTCAAGAAAAGGACTGGAATTGGTTTTCTTAGAATCCACTTGTAGTTGTCACACCCTCTGCTCCCATCAAAAACTCAAACACCCTGGGTACCACGATATTATCATGGAGACTTCCTCATTATTGCAGGTGTTTGCATGGTATTAGACTCCTGTAAGGAGTTTCAGTTAGTCTGAGTAGGAGACAATCTTCCTTCCTTCCACCTGGAAATTAATTCTACAGAGATAGGCAGCTTGATGAAGTGGGAAGATCATTGAATTTGAAGCTGGAAGACTTGGGTTTGAATTCCAGATACTGCCTTTTGTGTCCTTGTGTTGCAAAATGAGAAGGCTGGATCTCTCTAAACTCTCTTGCAGTTCACTACCAGCTGTGTACATATGGGCCCAAATCTCTCTGAGCCTCAGTAAAGTAAATATTACTACTTGCACTGTCTAACTCATAGGGTTGGTGGAAGTACCTTCGTAAGTTTTCAAGCAATATACAAATGTCAGCTTGACTATATTATTGCTTCTGGCAATGGCTAACTGCCCCCATGCAGTGGAAACTGCCCCCATGTAGGAGTTTCATTCATTCTATGGGATGGATGAAAGAGTCCTAGAATCCCCTAACTTTCCCATCATCAATCTCACCACTGGCCCATTTCCTTCTGTGACAGAGGAAGAGGTAGAAATCTGGTCAGCTGAACTTGAAGAAATTGTGAAGGGAACCACAGTGTCTTCAATGATCTTGCGTTCCTAAGGCAAAGGAACAAGGTTAGCCAAGGAAAAAGGTAATTCACAATGTATATGTCAAGAGGGCACTTTTTACTAGCAAACTTTGGAAGTAAGTGGGAAGATTTATTTTATTCCATAAGGCTTTTCAAAAGGTTGCAAACAATAGAAGGCAGGGTTTATTTTTTTCAAAATGCAAATGAATTAGTACAAAAGGACCCTTAATTACTAAGACTAATTTAAAATACTCTTAGGTAGCAGATTAAGCATAAAATTTGTTATTGTGGGAGAAAATTCACAATGATATAAATGATATGAGAACTGAAGGTGCTGAGCATAAAACATGGCCTTTATGTCTAATGAGAGCTAGTATTATGCTATTTTAAAATTACACTAAAAACACACTAGTCATATCCCATATTAACACTGTCCCAGTGAAATGATTTTACAAACATATCACTAACAGAGTGCCACCATATCAGCACCTTAACTTTATAAAGCTAAGCTGTTATGTCTTAGGTCAATCATAAAAATAAGTCTCAGCAGTCACTCATTTCATAATCAGGCCAGTTCTCTTGTCAATGCCTGCTTTCAAATTTGCCTGCATTGGCAACTAGGTAGTGCCAATCTATCCAGATTCTTTTACTCAAGATTCAGGGAGGCCTGAGTGCAGATCTTGTTTCACACGCTTATGAGCTGTGTGACACTGGGCAAATCACTTAACCTTTCTCAGTATCAATTTCCTCATCTATAAAATGGGGATGATTATAATACTAATTCATAGTTGTTTTGAGGGAAAAATGACATAATGTATATAAAGTGCTCTGCAAACCATAAAGCATTATATAAATGTAGTTTTTTATCATCATCATCATCATCATCATCACCATCACCATCACCATCACCATCACCATCACCATCACCATCACCATCACCATCA